ATAAACATGGGTATGCATATATCTGCTTGGATGTCAGTTATGGTCTCTTTGGGGTATATTCCCAGTAGTGGAATTGCTGGGTCGAATGGTATCTCTATTTGCAACTTTTTGAGAAAGTGCCACACCACCTTCCACAGTGGTTGCTTATTTGCAATTCTTGTGTTAAGGAAGCTTTGTCCCTTCTCCTCCCACATTTAGGCATCTTCTTGAAATAGGACAAAAGTAAAGAGAGAGCTATTTTTCCTTAATTCTTCCTATTTTGCATAGAGCCTCACTTGGAAGGCTTATGCTAATCTTAGAGTTATAGGCTAGATTGGGGTAAGAGTGCAACAGCCAATATCATGTCTTTGTTATTATACATGAGCCAGACTTTAAAATAATAACTAGGTTGTATTATAAACGGGAAAGTTCAGACATCTGATATTAAAAACAAATTTAAATAGAATCCATATTGTATACTTCAGAAACGTAAGTTGTAGAAGTATTTTTATATTATTAGAGGATGAATAAAGAATACCTGATTCATTCAGATTTTTTTAAATTATTATTTTGTGTGCGTGTACCGTCAAATCAGATCTGACTGGTACAGGAGGATATTGCGCCTCCTTCTCCGAAAGAGCATCTGGTGGATTCGAACCGTGCACCTCTGGGATTGCAGTGCAGCTTCTTGCCACTAGGCCACCAGAGCTCCCCCATTCAGATTTTTTTAAAAAACATAAACACTTTTTCTTTTGACCTTTCAATTATCAGTCCGTTTTTTAATAAGTTAACTTCTACACAATATACAGTGTGAAGAAGCATCTGGGGGAAAATGAACTTGTTTCACTTGTACCCCCAATACCAGGACTGATGTGAAAACTGTATTATAAATAAAAGAATGTAATTGATGGGGGGGAGGGGATGTAGGAGATGATGGAGGTCCGCGGGAGATCTGGCCACTACCTGAGGTTCCTTTTCTCTTCCATGGTTCTCGGTTGGTTCCTGATGACTTTATTCCTGTCTCTTGGAGTCAAGGGTATCAGAGATGCAATGAGCTTTTGTCCTGTGGATGGAAACAAAACAAATGGCGCTGGTCAGTTATATTTTTTCTAAACCGAATAACTTTACATTATGTAGCGTGTTTTTAAACGAGCATACAAGAGAAAAGACGGCATGCAATCTGGGATTTTAAAGATCATAAATACAAACAAGATGATAGTGTCTTCGTTAACCACCAAGGTCTAAATTAATAACAATGTTTATTCACGATTCTAAATCTATGTTTTAGTTTTGATTCTCTTGTTTTTTGATTTCTGGCTTTCCCTAATCCCTTCCATTTACTTTTTTGGGGGGTTTTCTCCCCCTCCCCCAGTGACATTCATGAGCCTGCTTTGCCTCTTTCATTTTGATATCTCTCAGCTCCCTCTTCTGCCCCCTGGCATTGTCACATGCTTTCCGAAAAATGCCCTCCTCCTAAGTTATTTTCATATTTTAGGTCAGCGCCACAGACATCATGGTCACCCACCCCAAAGTCATCCTCTCCTTCCTAATAAACAAACACAAAACCCCAATTGGCATCGCATCAATTTCCAATGCTTAGACTATCCTTTTCCTGTGGATTAGAACCAACCACCTCCAGGTTAGCAACTGCAAACTAAGCATTACACCCTGAGAACTTAGGAAAGAGCCCCTTCCCACCAATGGCTCTTCTGTGGAGGTGGGCCCTGTGAGTCTGAACCAATCATGGTGGCTCTGTCTACATATCCCCTCCCACCTCCGTTGTTTATGACCCAGTAGACGTGGCCATGTCACACAATGTTAGCCAAGTTCTGTGGGGAGTGGTCTGCTGAGGTGTTCCTCGGGGAAAATTTCTTCCCTCTCAAAAAGAAATCATAATATAAGAGAAATCCTTCTTCTATTCCAAATTATGGTGTCCTCAGTGGACACATAAAGGAAGAAGTAAAGCCTGTCTGGTCCAGCTCACGTGTTAAAGGTGGCGCTAACTGGGTCCTCTGTGTCACTTCACAGGAGAGCTCCAAGTCTGTAGTTGAGGGAGAGAACACCCCAAGTGGCTGCCAATTTACTTAGGTGAAGAGAAGGAACTGGTGTCTCTCCTGACAGTGACTGAGGAAGGGGAAGAATGAATTGAAAGGAGAGGAAGGAGAAAGGCAGGGGAAAGCCCAGAGACAGAATCACACAGGGACACTACTCAGAAAACCTACAGAAAAAAGAACTGTAATATACACAAAAAGCTAAGGTCACCCAATGCTTTGTGTGAGCGAGTTGGTGTTCTTCCTGAAACTCTAGGAATGGCATGTACTTTATGCCCCAAGTATTATGGGGTAACCCATGACAATTACATGTGGGCAGGGCACAACTTTTCTGCAAAGTTTTCAAGGCTGTGGTCTTTCAGAAGTAGATGGACAGGCCTGGCATCACTGGATGTTGAAAGTGCCACAAACTTTGAGTTAGTAGCGAAGTACTCAACTGTCAACTGTACCACTCAACACGCCTAGCATTATGGAAACAAAAGTGTCAGCTTTTGGTCTCAGGAGCAGAGACAGGAAAGCCTCAGACCTGACTCTGTGATGGACACTTCAATAAAAGTGGCAACAAACAGATATGTCTTGGGGAGGGTGCAGACAGAGAGCTCTTTGGAAGCAGGAATGATGAGGCTTCACCTCACATACTTTGGACATATTGCTAGGAGGTGCTATTCCTTGGAGAGGGACATGATATTGGGAAGGGTGGAGGGTCAGAGAAGGAGAGGAAGACACTCAACTAGGTGGATTGACACGGTGACTGCTGCAGTGGGCTCTTGTGTGTCAGGAAGTGTGAGGATGGCACAGGACAGAACAGGGTTCAGATCTTTTGTTCATGGGGTCACTATCAGTCATACTCAACTCAGTGGCACCTGACAACAACATCTTGCCTAAAACCAAGTTAGGGAGGCATTAGACCAAAGTAGGACAGTAGGTTGTTGAAGATGAAGACTTGGCAATCAGATCTACTGGGTACCAGCTGTGTGACCCCAAATTAGATCACATCCTTAATTTCCTTATCAAGCAAAGGAGAATGACAAGAGACCCTGCCTCACAGATGTGTGGTGGGTTGCTGTTGTTGTTGGCACCCTCGAGTTGAAATCAACCCAGAGCTGACCCCGCAGTGGATTTTCAGAGGTAGTAAATCACACAGGAAATAACACTGGGAAATCAAAAGACAAATTGCACTGGGGAAGTCTGTCAGGAACCTCTTCAGAGTGCTGAGGAGCAATGATGTCAGCCTAAACACTAAGGTGCGCCTGATCCAGGCCAGGACCTTTACAATCACATGCTATGCAACAGAGAGCTGGACGAAGACTAAGGATGACAGAAGAAGACTGTTGCCTTTGAGTTGTGGTGCTGGAGAAGAATACTGAACATCCCATGGATGGCCAGGAGGACAAATAAGTCTGTCTGGGAGAGAGTGAAATCAAATTTCTCCTTGGAGGCTAGGATTTTGAATCTCTGTCTCACATAACTTTGGGTACATGGAGAGGAGGGACCAGTCTTTAGAGAAGGACATCACGCTTGGAAGGATGGAGAGACAATGCAGGAGAGGAAGATCTTGGATGAGATGGATTGACACAGATTGACACAGTAACTGTGGCAATGGGATTAGGTGTGTCAGAGTCAATGAGACTGGCTCAGAATAGAAAAGTGTTCAGAGTGGATGTACATGGAGTCACTCTCAAAGGCACACAACAACAACAGCAAATCATATGGGAGGTGATTGCTTCTTTTTCTCCCGCGGTGTTGAAGAGTAACTAAAACTAAATTCAGGGTTATGAAGGGAAGTGCTTGCCAGAGGACCAGGCACCTGAAATGAGTTTAATGAAGGTGAGGTCGCCTTGGTAGGGGTTTCTCAAGTGGCCCTCCTCTCTCTGGTCTCCACTTAGATGACCAAACTTTCAACTACTAGACATCTTGGACTAAAGAAGACCTGAGGACAACTTGGAAGCCTTCTCTATCCCCTTCTAATGTCTCCTCCCCAGAGTTTTACTACCTTGGATGCTTTCAAGAGAAGGATAAGGAGTTGGGGCTTCCGAGAATTCAGGGATATGAATGGTCTGAGAATTGGAGTCACTCAGGGCTGTTGAGTACTGTGACAATTGCTTGCTCTGTTTATGTCTCTGTTTGATGACAACCTGAGGGTTGGTCATGTCGATGTCAGAAGCTGACGGGGCCATGGTGTAGCTTGAGTTTACTGGCAGTTTGTCTCGAAGCATCTCATTTGGGGATGGCTGGCCTTGAACCTCAGATGGAACATTCTCAACCTCTACGACGATGTCATTATTTCCTTGGTTCTCAAACATCTCCTGCTGTCCGTCTCCAAGCCTGGTTCTCCACAGGGGTGGGCTCCCAAAGACTTCATGCAGGGGTCATGCTGGCATTGTGAGCGGTTTGGAGGGACAGTGACAGGCAATCACTGAAGGATGCACCATCACACTTTCTAGAGTGCCAGGAGGAAACTGTCAAAGCTGATCCCACACAAACCACAACCTAACTCCCCACATTGGCAGCAGGGTCTCTGTGGCAGGGCCAGTGTTTTCCTGTAAAAAGCTCTGTCTTGGTAACCAGGCAGGAAACTGGAAACAGAATCTTTCATTCAAGATGACAGGATTCTAGAAACAGAAGGCAGAGCTTCTTCTAAATGATTCCAAAGCAAGGAAGATATTTTGTTTTTCATCTATAACCATTGGCCTACAATATATACTTTCTTATGCCCATGAACCTCTCCAGAGTACTGAAGAGCAATGATGTCAGTCTGGAGACTAAGGTGCGCCTGATCTTGGCCATGATCTTCGCGATTACTTGCTTTGCATCAGAAAGCTGGGCAATGACTAGGGATGACAGAAGAAGAATTTATGCCTTTGAGTGATGGTGCTGGAGAAGAGTATTGAATATACCATGGACTACATGGTCCTGGAGAGGGTGAAACAAGGCTGTTGCTTGGAGACAAGGATTCTGAAGTGCCATCTAACATACTTTGCCAACACTGGATGGGGTCTCACCAACAGGCCTTTAGGTCAGTAGTAGGGACCACTTTGGGTGGTGGGCACTGTATTTGCCTTCTTCCTATTCATTCTCCCTTTCCAACTACCAGCATGAAGTCTCATATCCAGTGCTTTGTTAAAATTCTCCCAGCTCTCTCTGTGGCTATGAGTGCATGTGGGATCCATTTCTGGCCAATGAGACATTCGGCTTCCATGAATATTCTTTCTAAAGGCACATCTCTTCTTTTTTTTTTTTAATTGTTTTAATGAAAGTTTACGGAATGTTTAGGTTTTCATTCATTTATTGTTGTACATTTCCCTTCCTCCTCTTTCCCCAGTCACTTTGCAATTCACCTCTTGTTCCAGATTGTTGTCATACATATAACGCCTAATCATATATTCTTTTGGGACTGTTCTTCCTCTCACCTGTTACAAGGCACTATTCATTATCTATCCACTCTTTTCCTACCTTCCCCCAACTCCTCATGTCTGTCCTATTTCATAACTGCCGTGCTATGCAGTACTTGTCCTTTTGTAACTGAGATATTTAACTCAGCATAATGTCTTCAAGGCTTACCCATGTTGCTTAATGTTTTATGAGTTCATAGTTTTTCACTTCTGTATAATATTCCATCATGTGTGAATGTACCATAATTTTTCTAGCCATTTGTTTGTTGATGGGCACTTGGAGTGCATGTATATCTTTGCTATTGTGAATAATACAGCAATAAACATAGGTATACATGCATCTGTTTTGAGTTGTAGCTCTGGTTTCTTCAGGGTATATTCCTAGTAGTGGAAGTGCTGGGTCAGATGGTATTTCTATTTCCAACTTGTTGAGAAAGTGCCAGATCACCTTCTAAACTGGCAAAGAGCACATCCTTAAAATTTAACCTGCTTTCACCTTTTGCCCTCCATCATTCCTCCTCCTTCTTTCCAGGAAGCAACTATCCTGGAAGCATGAGGACAAACATTTATGTGTTAAGGGTGGTGAAGGACAAAACCAAAAGGAGCCTCAGCTTTGAGGGTATCATGGTTAGAGTTGCTAAACAAACGCTGTTCTCTCTCTCTTCTTGTTATCAGAGAAAAAGAAATCACTTTATTGCTGAAGTCACTGTCCTATCTGTATCCTTCACCTGAGCCAAATTTCTACCCAATAGGCCCCATTTATGAATCACCTAGGCCAAGCTGTTTATTTAATAGTTAGAGAAACAGATGCTCACGTGAATTAACCCTCCTCTCCTGTCACACTCTCATTAACTGGCTAGAACGTAACTGTCACTCTCCCAGTGATGTAAGTTTGAAGTGTGCCTGACTCCAGTCTCTTGCTATGCATCTGAGAGCTGGATAATGAATAAGGATGACAGTAGAAGACTTGATGCCTCTGAGTCATGGTGATGGAGAAGAGTACTGAATATACCATGGACTGCCAAAAGGACAAACAGATATTGTTGCAGACCGAGGGTAAAGTGTTTTTATAATTATAAATAATGAGACAGACTATCAGGAAGGATATAGAACAGAGAGCGTGAAAAACAGGAGTCCAGCAGTTCTCCTGACTGAAGGCCTCAAGCCATGCCTCTCTGGGTATTTATTGATAATCATAAGGAAGGTAAGTATGGTAAAATCATAAGGAAGTACAAAAGAAAAAACAGGGGATCATGGGGAAGTCATTTGCAGATAAGGCCAAGTTCCTCTTTATGCTTATCTCAGGAGGGAGGGATTCAGTTAATACAAAGAACAATGTTGACTCTTCAGGAATGCTTAGTGCCTCAAGGTGACCTTCAGCTTGTATTAAGCCTCCCTCATATCCTGGTGAAGAGATTGAGATAGCTAACAAGCGTCCCTTTTCAGCAGGAAGTAGCTAAGAGAATAC